ATGAAGCGCTTAGTGAATGTCTCAGACAGTGGAAACTAGAAATTAAGGAACCGGAGGATCCATCATGGGAGGAAAAACCCCAGCATGGAATGTACCGCTAACAGATAGCTGATTTAGCTGATAGGACCAAATCCTTCAAATAGTTAGAGAGGACAGCACAGAAGCACTGATCATGGCAGCACAGGGGCAGGCCTTGAGCATCAGAGCAATAGAGGCCCAGGTCTACTATACCAGGCAAGATCCCAGGTGCAAGCCCCCAAAACAGCCCAGCATCTCACAGCAGGATGTAAGACACTGGCAGTAAAGGAATACATGCAATGTCATAACCCAACGGCTGCTATAGTGTAAAATCTGTGCAGAATGCAAACTGAGACCCCCAGGTCAAGATGGTAACCACCTCCCAAGGTGGTGGAGAATTACAGAGCTAAGATCTTCTAGGACTTCCAGATACAAACAGACTAAATTGTTGTGGTCAACCAACCAAACATTGTGATTATTGATAAGCAGCAGAGAAGTTATCGATGTGGCCATCCCAAAGGAAGAAAACATCAGGACAAAAGAACACAAGGAATCGGAAAAATACCAAGGACTCAGGGAAGAACTAGAAAGAGCATGAAAGGCGATGGCAATGGTAGGGGCCGTAGTCAATGGAGCACTCAGGGCAGTAACCCCCAAACTGGAGAAGGGCTCCGACAGATACCTGGAGAAACGTCAGAGATCTCATTCCAGAAATGTACGGGTATCAATGCATAGAAACATAGAAATAATTTAAATATGAATAGAACTTAATGGAAAGTTCTCATAAGAAGAGTTTGACACAACAAATTGTGTGCATCTTGATGTAATATAGGGTAACATACACACCTCATTTATTAATGAGAGAAAATCCCACAGTGGTCACAGAATTAACTCTGACAAAAGTAACAATAAATTAAAAATCAATGAAAATGAACAATTGAAAGTCAGACATTGCTTAACAACCATGTTTCAACAGTAAATTTAACAAATAAACTCATAAAACAGGCCTGGACAAAAATGTTGATAACCTAGAAAACATTGAAAATAATGTGACCAAAGGGACATATTGAATTAGTGTCCATTAATTAGGATCACAGGTGTCTACAATCTTTTAATCAGTCAGTGGGCCTATATTTGGGGATGTTGGTAGTTACTGGTTTGGTGTGTGATATGGTGCGTACTAGGGATGCACGATATTGGGATTTTGGCCGATATCCGATATGCCGATATTTTAAAACTCATGTAGCCGTTAACCGATATCGATACCGATATTAAAGCTGGACAAAAATAAGTAGTCATTGAAAATAGCCGTTTTGTTATCCATTTCTGACACTTTGAAAAATAATATACTCAAATATATTTTCATATGCTGATATCAAACTGATTTTTAAAAACGCAGTATCGATCTATTTTACTTTCAAAATCTCATGAAATTTCATCGTTCTGTTACAAACTCTCGTGATATTTTGCAAATTCTTGTGAGATTTTGTTAGTAAAATAGATCGATACCGCGTCAATATATCAACATATAAAAATATGGCAAAATTTTGTGAATTTTCGGGGGATTTCGTAGCATAACGATGACATATAGCAATTTTTCATAAGTAAAAGAGATTGATATGGTGTTTCTAAATGGTAATATATCAGCATATGAAGATATTGTGATATTTTAATGTATCAATATTTTTTCCCTCGTCTTTAGAAGTTTTTAAGTCTGTAAAAAAGAAGTTTTTGAGGAAGAAGAAGAAGTAGTATTTTTTTTTTTTTTTTTAGACTTTAGAAACTCAGAAGCTGATCAAATATCGGGTTAAATATCGGTGGGGTGGCCGATGTCCGATATTCAGTTTTAAGGCCGATACAGGCCGATACCGATAGGGGGCCGATTATATCGTGCATCCCTAGTGCGTACCGCACTCAACATGGACCAGAAAAAGCAAAAATATTGTCCTCTCATAAGATCATAAAGAAATTTATAGACAAGCATGTTAAAGGCAAAGGCTATAAGATAATCTCCAAGCAGCTTAATTGATGTTCCTTTGACTAAAGCTGCACATATTACCCAGAAATATAAGATCCATGAGACTGTATCTCCCAAAAGTGGCCGGATGGAGGAAAACTGATGACAAAATCAAAAGACAGCTAAAGGGAATGGTGTCAAAAGAGGCCAGAAAAACTTCAAAAGAAGTTAAAGACGAACTTCAAGCTCAAAGATCATCAGTGTCAGATCGCAGCATCCGTCGTTGATGGGCCAAAGTCGACTTAATGGGAGACAACTGAGGAGGAAGGCATTGTTGAAAGCAAATCATACAACAAACAAAAAAACAGAATTTGCCAAACTTCATGTTGACAAACCACAAATCGTCTGGGAAAATGTCCTATGGGCAGATGAGACAAAATGAAACATTTTACCAAGGCACATCAGCTCTATGTTCATAGAAACAAAATGCAAAAAAGCATATCAAGAAGAAAACACTGTCCCTGCAGTGAAACATGAAGGAGGGTAATGTAGGGTTCAATGAAATATTAAGATAGTCAAGGGATTCTGGAGAGAAATGTGCTGCCCAGAGTCAGACATCTTGGTCTTGGTTGCAGGTTAACAGGATTATGACCCAAAGCACACAGAAACAGTCAAGAATGGCTAAGAGGAAAGCATTGAACTATTCTGAAGTGGCCTTCTATGAGCCCTGACCGGAAATACACTGTCTGGAAAAGGCAGCCTTCAAACCTGAGACAGCTGAAGCAGTTTGCTCATGAGGAGTGGACCAAAGTACCTGCTGGGAGGAGCAGAAGACTCACTGACAGTTACAGTACAGGAATCATTTGATTGCAGTGATTGCCTCAAAAGGTTGTGCAACAAAATATTAAGTTAAGGGCAAAATCATGTTTTTCCAGGCCTGTTTCATGAGGTTTTTTTTTATCATTCCACTAAAGCATCTGTTCATCTACATGGAATTTGTTTATTTATTTTTTCCAGTACCTTTGTCAGCTTCCTTATTTCTGTGACCATTGTGGATACCAACAAGTCTGTCCACATGTGTAGCTCTAATTCTGTGTAGCCTTGGCTATGATGTCCAAGTGATTCATTCATGACTCATTAAAAGTAAAGGCTTACAAAGCAAAAAGCCTCATCTGCAGGGATGGCAGTCTCAGTTTCTTTTTGATCTGAAAGATTATACACATTTTATTCTGAAAGTTATCTCTGGCCAGAGATCTCTTCAGTGGAAGATATGGGCATGACTTTTCATTTTAACCTAACCTGTCCAGAAGGTTGGATTCCAAAGTTAAGATAAAATAATGAAATAGTGTAACGGGCAACATTACGTCTTTCTTCTATATCCCTTAGAGCAAATGAGTAAAAAAATGTAAAGACTGAATAGAAAACCTAAAAGTAATATATATATTTTTTCACCTGTGTCCTCTGTGTATTGCTTATTGGTGTACTGTGTACTTTTGAACAAAGGCAACAAAGCAAGAATAATAAATAAAAAAATAAAACAAATGTTACTTTAGAAAGATCAAAGTTATTCAGACTGTTATCGTGTCCTTCTTATGTGGATAACTGCAACGCAAGTCAAGATTTGGTAGAATACATTTTAGTGAAAATACCTGCAGGATCAACATTCACACCTTAACTTTATGCAGTTGTCAACACAGCTGTAATGCTATGGGTGTAGATTGCATCTTTATGCAGGCAACTCTCTGATTATGAATCCATGCTGCTACGTGCCCAATACAGCCCAAACAACCACCAATCAGGAGCTATTATGTCTTGGGAAGCCACTATTTTTCTGGTATCTGAGAGGTGAAACTAAGTGTGAGCAATAGGGGTGGGTGGTATAAACAAAAAGACACATTAAAAAAAAAATAAAAAAAAAAAGGAAAGAAAAAGTGAGTGAGAAAGAGACAGTGGTGCTTTGGAGAAGCACAGCCAATTCCCTTCTTTTCAAGCCCCCAAAATCTCAGATAGACTGCCAGACTCAGAGAAAGAGCGCAAACAATTAATGCCAATACTAACATGGGTAATGGCTCCAAAATGGAGTTCACACAAGCCTGCCGCTGAGCAAGACGAGCCAAGATAACAGTCAGCCTAAATCAGGCAAAGCTTGAATGGCAAATGAAGAGAGGAAGCAAATTCTTGCTTCAGTCTACATGTCCTCCAAAAGCCAGCGGCCGGATAAAGGGGAACAACAGACGGGAAGGCTTTATTAGCTCAGCATGGACCAGAAGGCAGACATTATAACGGGAAGTGATGGATAATGTGAAACTGAAAGGAAATGTGAATAGTGTGCTGTGTATGGTCACCCCAGTGGTGAGATAAATACTAAAGATATTACTTTTTATTTCGATAAACACACATGGTCATGTGAAATTCACACCAGAAGTTAGTAAAAACCAAATCATCCACACACAGAGAACGACAAAACTAGATGCTTATAAAGAGGCTTGAAACAGATCATAAGTATTGCTTCTTATGATGTTTATAAATAGTTAGTAGAAAAAACTTTATGACACCTTCCAAAACTTCTGGCGGTTGGGGCTGCAACTAACAATTATTTTGCAAATTAATTAATCTGTAGATTATTTTCCATATTCATCGATTAATAATCCGATAGCCAGACTTTTTACGAAATGAAACCAGATGAAACTCTAATTTGTCCATTTGAGGAGTTTTGGATGGACCATATTGACAGACCTTTTTTGTTTTTATCTTAAATGCAAAATGTCTATATATTTTTTTTACCATTTCAGCATAATTACTGCTCCATGGGTTGCTCTGTTAGCTAAAGGCATGTTTTATAGTCTCTATATTCCGTTTAACAATGGTTCGAATACAAAATTAGTCAAAGGTTTTTTTTAAATAATCGATTAATCAAAGATTAATCCGTTTAATTGTTTCAGCCCTTCTGCCAGTATTAAGAAGGAAATCTATAATATGATAAAAAAAAATATAATGTAATAAAACCAAAGAAGAGAATAATTACCAAAGCAGTTTGCTTTATGAGGAACAAACATCTTGCATGCAGCGGCTATCTGCAGCTCAGCACTCAGGACAGCTTTTATGATCAGGTCCTCCACTTGTCTCATTAACACTACAACAGAATAAATGGAGATAAATGTAATTCAATCAAACTCATTGAGTCTTATAAACATAAAGATCCTAGAAAAAAAAAATAGAACTGCCTTACTCACATGTGGTGTCCTTTCCGTCCTGCTTCAAATACCTCAACACTGCACTCATACTCCATTTGTTGCCATAATCCTCAACTTCAGGGTCATCGCAGCTGAAAGGGAAGAAATGCGCTTCAAAGACTAAAGCTAAGGTAAAGGGATGAGTCAGGGGGCTTCCCCTAAAAGCAACACACTCTAAAGAGATGTGAAGCAGATATTATGTCAGCTTACCTGACATAATCGCTGCTCTTTTTGTTCAAACTATAGTTGGTGAGATGCATGAAAGTGTTCTTGATGTTTGTTGAGGTCTGGTCATATTTTACGGTAGCAAATCTGTGGAGAAACAGTTTTGGTTTTCTTTACCTCAAGTTAAACCAAAGAAAAACAATTTTTTTTTCTACATTCATGAGTTTAAAACTGTACTTAATAATTGGAGCACATAAGGAAGAAAATTGTCTCTGATAGAGTTTCACAGCAGTAGGTGCCACATGTGTTACAATGAAAATTCCTTGGCAAACCACCACGTACCTGAATATCAACACCACCAAAGGAATGTCAGAGATAAAAGCCAGATTCGGAACTTGACCATGATTTATTGCTCACAGTTGATAATGAAGCCAGCAGAATAAGAGGGCAGTGGCACAATGTTTTTAGCATGAGCGCATATTTCTATCAGAGCGAGGCGAGGAGCCAGCTATTCAGTAAATCATCTTCCCTCTCCAGGCCTACCTGTATCTGTTCAGTCTGTTTATGGTTTAGTTTAGAAAAACAATCTTGATTTGAACAGAAAGTACAAGAAAATATTGTGCAGTTTTGTTAAGCTTATCCATAGATAATATCTGAACAATGACATAAAACTAAAATTTGATTAGCACATTCTACAACTGAAACAATGGAGAGCTTTGTTTCAACATGCCAGGACAGCTTGACAGAGCAGTTGGTTTCTAAAAGCTTGGGTCGCCCTCTTGTGGAAACAGAAAATCCACCACCATGATGGATGAGAGCTGAATTTGAAAATCAATCAAATCCATGTTTAAAGCACATAAACAATAGAACATAATAACATGTAAATATCATAATAGATTTTAAATTACTACAACATTAAGCTGATAATTCTGCTTTACTTGAATTTATTTAAGCCTTTTAGAGATTTAAAAAAGTATAAGAACAGAGTCCGACCTAATTTTGATGGAAATTAACAGTGTTTTTAAAAACAAACACCTCAACACTACAACATCTTTAAAGTTTGTATTTTTTTTCTGCTACAGCAATGAAGTCATGTGAATGGTATATCATTTATCAAAGCACATAAAACTGTTTAAACATGTAAACATAAGTAACAAATTATATATGCAGAATAATTCTTTATTGTCCCTGTGTGGAAATATTCAGAAGCTCTCAGCCAAGCCTTGTTTCCTGATTTAAAAACACTTTTAGAGATAGAAAGTTACAAGGATTATTTACAGCATTTATATACTTAGAGAGGAAAACTTAACAAATTTAACTTCTGTTGAGAAATGGTGCAAAGAAGAATAATCAAAGGTGGTAAATGCATTTAGCTAACAGTGTAATATGCTTTTGTAGTTACTCCTGTGTTTTAATATGAGAATCACCTTCACCCAGTTACACTAAATACACACACACACACACACAAAACGTTAATTCACTGATAAAGCAGCAGGCCTCTGTGGATTAGGTAGTATAGTAATTTATGTTCTGTAAAGCTGGAACTGAACTCACTAGAGAAGTTATCAGAAAAAAATAATCTTTCTAGGTAATCCACAGTCGCCACTGGCAATCCGCCTCCCTGTCTGGACCAACCTTGTGAAATAGTATAGCAGAAAACTAAATGACTCTTCATAGTTATGCTGTTTTAGTTTATGCTTTTGTTTAGCAACTCCTGTGCTTTCTTGTGTTTTCTACTTTATACAATCGTAATGTTTTTATATTTTCTAGAATTATAAGGATTGTACTTTAAAATGTCACTGTGATTTCGTGAGACTACTTATTGTCTGTGATCCTTGCATTACTTCTTATTTTTAATGCTTTGGACCAGTGATTCAACCGGGGGTACGTGTACCTCTCGTGGTCCATCAGTGCATTGCAAGAGGTACATGAAAATATTTTTTTTCTTTCCAGCTTTTTTATAGTCATTACACTGTCACAAGTACAGAGCAACGAAATGAACTCTCTGCATTTCACCCATCCTCTTGGGGAGCAGTGGGCTGCCATTGTGTGGCACCTGGGGAGCAGTGTGGGGTTAAGGGTCTTTTGCTCATGGAGCCAGAGTGGCAGTCTGTGGGAGCAGGGCTCGTACTCAGAACCTCAGGATTCCAAGCTCTATGCCCTAACCACTAGGCTGCCACTCCCCCAAAATGTATCTCCGCATTTACCCCATTCGCTTAGTGAGCAGTGGGCTGCCATTGTGTGGCACCTGGGGAGCAGTGTGGGGTTAAGGGTCTTGCTCAGGGACCCAGAGTGGAGGCTGTGGGGATCAAACCGGGTATTTGCAAAATTCACAGAGCACGAGCACACTGCTCTAACCACTAGGCCAACACTCCCCTTCAAAATCCTGAAATTTTATTTCTTAGGTAAAAAATAAAATTGGGCTCTGATGTGTTTTGCTTTGCGATGACCCAACAAAAAAATTTAACAAGCTTTTAACACCCAAAAAGTATATTTTTCTTATATGTTTGAGTTCACCTTCAGCTGTGACACATTAAAACCAAGTAGAGGAACAGACTGGATGTAGAGAACAGCCTGGGATCAGTTGTTTTTCACGCAGAGCTATCAGAGCTAATCAAAGTAGCTCTGGTGTCTTGATGAAAACAAATAAAACCACTTGAGTCAGTCTGACTATAGTTTTTGTTCTATGTTTTGTACCCAATTCCTCAACCTTAAACGTCATTATAATAAAGCTACTCAGATGAGCTCCAGTTTTATAAATATAGGTTTATTAATTTATTTTATAAATTTATTGCATTTATTTCGATTACTTACCGGTACTAACTTCCAGGCAACATATTTATGCTGTTTTGTTTATCTGAGATGGAAGGCATAAAACAATAAAAATTAAATGCTCAAATTAAAAGATTAAGTAAAATAGTCTTTATTTCAGTTATTGTACTTTCCACTTTTGGACAATTGTCAATACTTTTGACTAAAAGGGGTACTTATGGTAAGACAACATTTTTTTTTGTACTCTACTGAACTCTGCTTGCCTTCATATGGGTTCTTTCAGGTAGCATGATACTGTATGAGGCTAGATTTTTATTTTTTTTTTAAACCTTGCAGTGTCAGATAGGTAACTGGAATTCAAACATTTGTTCATTTCAAGGCTTTTTACTCAGCAGTAGAAACACTTTTTTACATTTAATGAACTCAGGGGTTCCCAAAGTAGGGCTCAGGACCCCCCGGACATTTCTAGACACCAGGTAGGGGCCATTAGATGGTTTCACTATCATTATGATGTGATCCCTAAACTATATGGAGGGCCAAGAATATAACATGAAATACGTAAATTTGAGTTTCCCCAAAAAAAAGATATGTAATTTATTTATTTCAATGCATGATTCAAATATTATTTATACTGCTAAATTGTCAAATACACAACAAAATAATTAAATGTCCAATTAGATCAGATCTAAAAGCACCTTTGAAATTATGAATTAAACAAATGTTATTTAAAAATATATATATATTGATTTAAAAATTATTTTATTTAGTTTACCTTAAAGTATGTATGGATCTCTTTGTATTGATCTTTAGGGGTCATCAGTGTTTTTAGAGTCACAAGCTATTATGTCAAGGCACCTCTGGACTATACAGTCCATGCCTGATTCTATCTATTTATCTTTCTCTTTTTATGTATTTATTTCAAAATAATTTAGCTTAGTTTAGCTTAGCTTAGTTTATATTTTTTAGAGGAATGGCTATTTTCTTTGTAGGATTTTTTTGTAACTACTTTTTTGAAGTTTAAAGTATGCAAAGTATTTTCTTTTCAATATATATTTTGGGGAGCTGCTATGTGTTAGTATTTACAGTGTGAATGTTTCCGTGTAAAGTGGATGTCTTTCTTATATTATATTCCTATACAGCAAATTGCATTTGAAAAGCTGGACCTCAACCATCAAAGTGGGCTATTGCCCATTACAGTAATCCTGCAGAGGTGCATATTACCAGTATTCTGGATATAGGCCTAATCAGAGAGGAGGTACACACAATAGCATGTGTATTTATTACTGCAGTAGCTTTATTTCTCAAAATACATTGAATGACCTGCAAAATTCCAAAAGTGTTTAAAAACCTACTAACGCTTACCTAGCTAGACCCTCTTCATAGACATAGATGAGAAGTGGGTCATAGGATGTCACCACTACATACAAACGAACATCAAATTTGAATTCTGCAAGAAAAGAAAGCGATTAATCATAAAGAGCTTTATGTTAAAATGACAAATGATTTACTGTGTCTTACCGTCGATTAACAGCGGGTTGTTAATGTAGCGAGACACCAAGATGTTTTCATCCATTGAAATCTGATTTGGCTATTTGTAAGAAACAAAGTAAAGTTGACAATGAGATGAACACACAAAGAGGATATGCAGTCAGTATTTCATCTCAGAGCTTAAACCATCAAGCTACAAGTTACTTCATTTAAAACAACATCAAATATGGACTCCAAGCAGCTGCCACGACACTGCAGTTATCATAAACATCAAAGCGCCCTCACATTGGGAGCCTTTTCTGCGACGCTGGTCATAGCAGGTCAGCCTTCAATAACAGCCTATAAAAACACAATCTGGTGCTGGGAGATGGGTCATTTATGAGGCTGAAATGTGTTGCAGGTGGTGAAGTTGAGTCGAGATTTGGAAGGGAGGGGGCAGAGTAACCTCAGCGTTGGCAAGAGTTCAGAGGAAAACCAAACCGAAAAAGATGAACATATTTCTTTCTTCTCTCCAAATATCAAGCTGACATTCTTTCCACCGTTGCATAAAAATGCTTGAGAAGAAGAAGAATTGTGGATATATTTTCCAAGAGTGAGAACCTTGTTGGCCTCTTCCTAGAGCCAAGACCTTGGAAGTGTGTGATTTACTCGCCCGCGCTTATTAATGTCTAGTTGAAACTTATTTCAAAGACAACAGTATCAGTGCAACCCCCACACTCGGATAACATCTGGCAAAGTGACTGCCTGGGTTCACACAACATTTTTTAGGTCCGTTTGCGCAAACTTTACTCCCACACTCCAAATGTAAATCTGTGCTTACACATGAAGTAGTAGTTGACTGACACAAGGGCGGTTTTAATAAAAGGGAGATCCAGGGTTTTTTGTTTCCAGTATGTGCTAATCTATCCTCACTGTGTTATGTAGTTTTTATAAACACTTGGATCCTACACCCATCCTTTCTGTAATTACTTCAAAGTTATTCTCCCACTTTTACAGCTGCTATCAGGTTCAATTACAACCCAAAATATGTTTTCATTAAGAGAGAAATGCTTAAAGCACCTCAAGAATTGAGCAGCGAGGACAGATGAATATAAAGATGAAAGTAAAATGGAAAAAGTAGCAATGAAAATGAAAAGTGAAAGAAAATAAAGTGAAATTTCATATGCAGTATAATAGTAAATATTTATGAAAGCTTTATTTTACACTCCAATCCAATTTCGTCTTGTTTAATCCCCTTTGTGGAGGTCTGCTTCTGGAAAACACAACTGCCAAATAGCTTTCTGCACTTAAGAAAGTTAGGAATAGCCCTATAATCACTTTTATTTCAGAATATTGTAAATATTTTGTTCTTTTGATTTTACAGTTTAACAGATTCTTATTAGGTTTTAGCTATTTCTTGTTTTCACATTAGATCATGACGTGTATAAAACTACCCTTGGAGTGGAGAAGCTTTTCAGGTGAGTGCTTAACATTTTATTATCTAAGTACTCAAAGTAATTCAAACTGAGTTTAAGGGTTAAGACCTATCTGCTACTTCCTCAAAGAGAGTAGCATTTGGTTTCTTTCTATTTAGTTTTTAAATTGAACCATTTTTCTTGCTCCATGCAGTATGGACATGTTTTTCTGTTTCTAAACACATACTGTAGATTGTGTATTTTCAGTCACTAACCAGGAACAGCTTATTACATAAAACAGCTCCATTATTGGTGAATTCTTTTTCCTTATATCCACCATCTGGTAACAGAATGGATTACTGAATGCCGGATGGACAAGCAAAGCTGTGCTTTTGCATTTGACTGAATCCATAACAACCTCAATGAATCCTTAATCAAGCTAAATATGCTGCAGTGTTGGTAGCCAACATCCTTACAAATACTAAAAACCTTCAGCTGTGAACTTTAAGCTAGCAAACAATCTGTTTGTATAGACAGTTACACTGCAAAAACATTAAAATCTAGGTAGGTCAGTTTTTCTTAAAAAGAGGAGCATTTTCTTGAACTGTGCAGGTAAGCAAGACACTTTACCAATGGAATAAGACAATTTAAATTTTAAATAAAAAAAAATATGCAGCAATTTTAAAATCAGTAAGTAGTAACAGTAGAACAGTAGAAGAATACAAGCGCACCCTTTCGAAAGCTGTCGATCTCTTGGCTGGAAAGGTTGCTAGGCGACGTTCCGGCTCCAGTAAAAAAAAAATCCACAAGCAGAGCCGACGAGTTTCCGAGCATATCTCTAATTCGAGCGAAGCGCAGTTTGCGTGCCACAAGGAAGTAAACAAGAGGAGAAAATATCTGTACAAGAAAAATTTTATCTGAGACAGAAACGAAGATTTGATGGAGAAGAGAATAGATTTCAGAGAAAGCAGAAGTATATGAGCATTACTAATTTTGATTGGATGTAGAGGGAATTATGCACTGAAATGAATAATTCTCCAGAAAAACTACTGCAGTCTCTTATTTCAAGTACATGATATCTAATTATCTTATTTTAAGGGCAAAAATACTAATTGTAGATCATCTTGTTTACCTACTCAAATGAAGGGTAAATACAATTATTTTAAGAAATCTGGACTCTCTTTTATATTGTTTTTGCAGTGTAGTGCTTGCAGAAATTATGTCCATTATTTATACAGTTAGGATTATTGCTTTTGTGATTACAGCTGAGGCATGTTTACAGTTCTATAAATTAAATGTCTCTATAACAGGCGATATATCCTTATTTTAAATAATTTATAAGGAAAACATTTTGACTTTTGATTCGTCTCTAATTCTATTTGTTTTGCAGTAAGGTATTATCTGAGACACTGCCTTTAAAACCAGAATCTATTATATGTTTGGTCCTGGTTTAGTATTTGTTTGTCTACAGTCTTATTAAATTCTTTATCACAGAGCCACTGTAAACTATACATGCTAAAGAACCCCTTGGAGATCTGCATCTGGTTTTGTCTTTTAACAATTCTCTGTCATATAATTTTTTTTATTAACTGACTATTTTATTTTACTTTAACAAGATATAAACAATGCAGGCCCCAATATAAGGCTCAGACCACCTTAGTTGCTGAAAAAGACAGTCAATCAAAGTTTATTACCTCCCCAGAATTTTTTGTGTGTTCAAACTCAATAAAACCTCCGTTAACCCAATGAAGTGTGATAATGACGATGACAAAACCCAGCTCAAACTAGAAAGTTTCTGTTTTCCAACTTTTGTCAACATGAGCCCAAATAATCTTATATCAGCAGTTACGAACCTCAGAATTATAAAGTTAATCAATTTAAAGAGTGAAAACTGCTTACATTGCTGATCAAATAGATTCCCCGTCCTCTGGAGGATGCGACTGGTTTAATTATCCATGGCCCCTTGTCCTTCGCAAAACAATCTGGGAATGACAAAGAAGAGATAGAACGTAATCCGTACCTTGGTCAAGAATTTACACTCCTTTGAACTTTTTCACATTTTGTAATGCAACAACAAACTTTTGTGTTGTTTTCTTGACATAATTATAAAGAGGGAGAAATACACATAAAAAATGTTTGCCTATTCTTCTATAATAACACCTTAAACTCATGATGGATAAATCAAATCTGTGATGATCAATGTATAAGCTGTAACACACATTATCTGCTTGATGTTTCCTAGATGTAAACATGACTGGATCTAAAATAATCCATTATTGTTGTGATTATATGATTTGTTCTGTTGTCCGAAGCATCCAAGTGAATCTCTGCTCCAGTCTGAAGACTTTTATTTCCTCATTTGGTTTTCTTTCTAGGATTACCATGTATAACTCCATTGATCTTCCCATCCACTCAAACTACCTTTATCTAAGCTACTAATGAGGAGTAATCTCAAAGCAAAAGACTGATACCTCTAGATCCTATTGTAGGGCTGTGTGTTCAAGGTGATGTTCAAGGTACATTTTCTGACACATTTGTTTAGTATGTTGACTAAAAAGTTATAATTCAGTCTCCCCTGACCAGCGCTCTTTTCTCCAGGAGTTATTTCCTAAACATGTTTGTGATTCTGATTGACTTGTCCCAAACTGCAAACTTGTAGGTTCTTTGAAATGTCTTTTAACTTGTATCTTCCTATAGCATCTAACAGATACAGGTCAAATTTGAGGAGCACATGATCATTATTTGTCCTGTCGACAGATTCTCTCATCTGAGCTGTGCATATCTAATGCTTCACCAGATTTACTTTGGACGTTTTTGCTGGTTCTTTGATTAATCCTCTCTTCCCTCAAACTGTCAGTTTGGGTGGATAAACATGTCACGGTAGAAATTAAAGTAGGGATGTTCCGATCCAAGATCAGGCAATATATATATATATACATATATTGGGTTTAGCACTGAAACAATTTTATTAATCGTGATTAATCGATTAAAATAATAATGACGAAATAATCCTCAACTAATTTAGTAATCGATTGTTAACTGGAGTGTAGAGACCCTCAATGTCTAAGCATGAATTTAGCTGACAGAGCAACCCACCTTGAGCAGCAATATACCAAAATTGTAAAAAAAATTAAAATAAATAAATATTTTGCATTTAACATAAAAATCCTTTTCATCTGTCAATTTGATCTATCCAGAACTCCTCAAATGGAAAAAAAAATAGTTTCACCTGCTTTAATTTCATTAAAAAGATCTTGTTTAAGAAATCTTTGGCTATCCGATTATTAATTAATTAATAGAAAAAAAATAATTGACAGATTTATTGATTTGCTAAATAATCGTAAGTTGCAGCCCTAATCAGTCACCTAAAATCTCTGATATCAGCATGCTGATAAAAACATTTCGCTTCTGGAAATGAAAAAATTACTCCTAAAGTGACAAGTTGTGGACTAAAGGGACTGGAATAGAAATCTATATCATGCTTTTCCTTTATTTGTTAAATAGATTCAAAATGGCATCCCTCTCCCTCCACTACAATACAATAAGGCAAAATGAAATATATTATTTTATTCAGAAAATAAATTGAAGTCTAGGGTGTTTACATGACACAATGTGAAAATGGGTATCAATACTTCCCTAAGGCGTTATAATCATGAATCTGCTCAGTCCCAGTGAATCAGATGAAGGTCTCTTACTGCGGAACTCCTGGCTCTCAGAGGGAAGCACGAAGGTCTGAGGAATTATGTGGAAGTTTTTGAAGCCGTGTAGCTGCTGCATCCGCTGGATATTTTTATAGAGGCGGTCTTTGCGAGTTAATTCATACGACCTGGAAATCGGCAGAGATTTCAGGTTAAAATGTGCTCTACTTTGACATGACATAACATTTACAGAAATAGATACGGTTACAGAACAGCCCCTGCCTGAGAGCATGATTCATTTCATGCTTCAGAGAGGCACCAGTCCAAACTAAATATGTGTTTCAGGAGAAGCCAGAAAATACATCGCTTCAAGAGGGTTTGGGAAGGACTGCTGGTGTTATTTATAATACAGAAAAACAGTAACAGTACACCCGGGTGTTTCAAAGGACTGTTATACCTGGGAAAGTGGTTGACCTTCTGGAAGTCTTGAAGGCTGCGTAGCACATAAGGCTTGATGTGAGATCCAGTCCACATTAGGTTGAAGTCATTACTATTTGGGTGAACCTGAATAAGACAAAAAGGGATTGACCAGCGATGTATCACCCATAAATCCATCACTAAAATAAAGATTGTTAAATCACTGCACTGGAACATAATAATCAAGAACAAAACCACATTTATTACAGAACCATATCAATCCACTTCCAAGGGAAAAAAATTACATCCTGCACTTTGAAATTTACATCATAAAACCTGTGTCATTAGATGAGATCTGTTGTTTTTATATTTATAGATAATTTTAGAACCAAAATTGACATGGCTACACTGCTTTGGGAGTTCACCAAATATTTGTACGTAGTAAAGTTTGGCTCTGCAGAGGCAGTAGACGCTACTTTTGGATATTGGTCAATTCAAAGTCAACAGGTACAGAACTACGTATTTAAAAGAAATGAAACTGTTATGCTCACTAATTCTTTTTTTTTCAAGAGCAGCTTTAAAAGTTGTATTGACAATGAATAAATAAAACCAAGTGTAAGATTTTGAGTGATTGAAGAATAAGAATTACCTCATGAAACCCATGATTGGCGAGCATTCTTCGTACAAGGCGACTCTCTGTGCGCACAATCTTGAAGGCCATATTGTAGCTCTCTGAACAAACAAAGAAACAGGAAAAGACTAGATAAACTTACTTAGGCTTTTCATTTGAAATATACTGTTATATAACTTAAGTCTGTACCTCCAATAGAGCAGATATTCCTGTCTTTTGAAACAACAGCCTCGGGTAGAAATAGGAGGACTGGTATTGTCTTGCTAAGGCCACTCCATGTGATGCAAGGATGATCTCTATTTGGGAAAAAAATTGAATGTTAGAGACTGTATAGACTACATTAAGGACATTGGAAAGAGGAATTCTCATGCTGTTTATTAGAGGTCAACCAATACAGGTTTTTAAAGTCTAATGCTGATACCAATGACTTGCATCACTCTAATCAATCCCTGTTGATATTTTTAGGCTGATTCTTAAAGTGATATAAGAAGCTCCTTCAGTTACATTTCTGTGTTTAGCAGGATTAACAGTATAAGAGTGTTGATATAACCCCCTAGTTTTGGCCTTTCTTTTTAACGTAAGTACTGATTCAGCCAGCTAATGAAATCTTACCTGTATAATACCAATCATCCAATACCCAATCACGATTAATACTCATAGAGGATTTCATAGAAATTAGATAAGGTTAGGGATATTTTTTTCTGCAAAAATAAAGATGCTCTTGTAATCCCTTTATTTTTTTTCTTTTGATTTCTAAGCCCCTACAAAAGAACCTTCAGCACCTTTCTTCTGTTTCATGTATTTCACTTTGTATGTCACATACATATTTTCTTAAATGTCGATAATGTTGAATTCATTAGTCATAAATTTACTGTAAAAATATAGTTACGTTTTAGCTAATATCTAAATGGTGCATACATATGAAAAAATAATCTGATCAAATAATGTAAAAACTGCTGACAAAACAAAAAATTCTTCCTATTATTAGCATTATACATTGGTTAATGTACCTTCATAGCAAGTGTCTACTTAATTGCAGAATAATCTGTAAGGTTACAGGTGGTAGTGCTTTGCATTATTCAGTGCCATTTGTTCTTACCCTACATCACCCTGTTTTAAATTATTAATGATGCCAGGTATACGATAGACCAGGTTAGAAAGTTCAAAAATGCTATCAATATCTACATTAAATTAAATTATCATTTGAGATATTTGTGTTAGAAGAGGCGATTTTTAAAGATCTATGTTTTAACAAAGTTATGGGAACACTTTTTTTAACAAAAAATAAGCATAAAAGATGTTATTACCGGAATATTTACTTTGGCCAATTAAGCTAACTTAGGGGGGAAAGGATGGAGGCGGGAAGAGTGATAGTCAGTAAGGTCTGACTAAAATAGCTTAAAAGGAATTATTTGGCAGAAAGAAGACAGACCAGCTGTCATATTCTCGGCAGGAGGGACTAGCTTATCCTCTCCGCATCTCAAATCATAATAAATAATTGTTCAATTTAGAGATATTTTTTTGCCAAAACACACCTTGGTTTGAATGCATTTATTAAGCAACACTTGGCACATCCTTATCATTTAAAAATTATACAATTTAATAACCTGTAAGGACACAGATTGAAGAAAATGAGGACCTTCATCAAAATGGGACATTTATCATCTAATAAAACACAAACCTTGTGATGTCAGTCAAGACGATCAGCAAGATAAGAACCTAAGTGAGACTAAAGAGGACTGTCTAAGTACATAAGCTGCACACTTTGAGAGAAAGCCTCTCTAGTGCTTTGGACAGTTGGTAAAATTGTGTGCATCTTGCTAAAAGACCACGAAAAGAGAAATCTGCAATTTGGCATTCTTAAATGAATCTTAAAGATTTAAGATTTATTTTGGTTACCTCACATATTTGCAAAAAAAATAAAATAAGATCTTGTTTATCAACAGGTGCAATATGGTGTGATAACCTTGATTAAAAATTTTTGTGTTTTGGTTTCATAGTATCAATACTAGCACTGAAACAGTTCATCGCATTAATTGAGATTAACCGATTATTGAAATAACCGTCAAATAATTTAGTGATAGATAAATCATTAATGGAGTGTAGAGACTCTAAAACAAGCATCTAGCTGACAGAGTGACCCACTTAGACAAGTAATTATATCACAATTGTAAAAAATATATATATATATAAACATTGCATTTAAGATAAAAAAAAAAAAAAAAACATTTTCGTCTGTCAATATGCTCTATCCAGAACCCCTCAAGTGAAAAATTTTAGTTTCACCTGGTTTAATTTCATAAAGCATCTTTTGGTTGTGCTGTCCGATTATTAATTGATTATTAAACAATAGATTAATCGATTAATTGAAATGTTAAAAGATAGATTAATCAATTTGCAAAATAATCATTGATTGCAGCCCTAATCAATACATAACAAAATATCCAAATAACTCATCTTGTTGTTTTTATTTTAAACACAACAAACATATACCTCAAAGAAAGAACCATATTACTCCAATACTATGTTATTAATTCCAGTAAATTGCATACGTTTTGTAGTCCTGCTCTTTACAAACTAACTCAAATCGTTCCAATAGCTGCTTCTTTAGGATGCTCCCACAGCCAGTCTGCACTAGACTGCTTTAAAAACAACCATGTGTTTCCAAAACAGTCAAATTTAGCTCTTTTTTTTTTTAGAGCAAGTAAAAATTGTCAGTTTTCTTTCCAACAGCTAACTGTTAATGTGCAGCATGAAGTGTGGAAAATCCACTGCTTTTATTTAGCCAAGAAAAAATGTTGTTCAATCCAACACATTCAAAAGGATTTCAAACTGTATGGACTATGTATTTAAAAAAAAAAAAAAAAAAAAAAAACGTTTTTGAAACTACTTTTTTTAAACTTTTATAGTACACTGTATGTATAACCAGGCTCATCATCTTAATAGTGGCGACACTATTAATAGTAACCCGCCCATGTCAATGCAATACATTAAAAACACATAACCACCACTGTTCCAAACAACCTCAATAAGTTGTTACATTCATGCAGATTTTGCAGTTTTTAACTTGGCTAGATAACATACTGCTGTTTTGCAAATCTCTGATGTTATTTTGAAATATCCATTACTATAAAAAAGTCTATAGCTGTATATCTGTTACTTATTCTCCAGGTGCATGGTTTTTATATTGTTAGAACTCTTTACAGTACAGTATTTTATTATCTTTTAACTCTTCACTGTTATGCTATTCTTATACATTTTTCTAAGGTCCATATTTGTGTGACAAATTTTTCTATAATCTTTTTGCTGCTGTAAACATCAGAATTTTCTCACTGTGGGACAATAAAAGGATTTTCTATTCTATAGTGATTGATAATTGATACTTAAAAATAATGTTACTGTATCCAGTTCTCGCTTGCACCAAATATTTAAACAGATTATTGTGAAACAAATGTAAGGCATATTTTTAATTAGGTTAGTTAGATTTTATTATAGCAAAACAAAATTGATGCAATCTGTTGAGATGCTAATTGGCGCTGTATAAATAAACTGAATTTAATTGAACAGATCAAAGTGTTGCATCAACATATTTTACCAGCAATGTTAATTTAAAAAAAGCCAGGACAGAGTTAAGACATAAATCTGAGGTCTGAAACAAAGCAAGAGAATTATAGATCTTAAACAGTACACACTACAGAACAAGTTCTTACTGCGATCAAATATTTCTTAACGCGAAGAAAAGAGCAGAAAAGCTTATTTACCCTTGATCGTCCTCCGAGGAAGACTCGGAGCCTTCCTTCTCGCAAACCACGGCTGGCATTTTCCCCTGAAGTGAGGGTGACTATCAGGCGATTCCTCCAGGCAGCAACGTAAGCTGTTCTATGAAGAACAGAGGCGGTTATCCTTGTCAGCACACTTCATAAATAGGAATAGCACCCATTTCAATATGAATCAAATTCTGTCACGGGTATAAATGAGCTCATTCTTGGATAATAACACCTTTATAAATCTACCTGTGTCTGCGATGAAATCCTCTTACAGCCCAAATATAACACGGTTGCACGGAGTGACGCTTATCTTACATGCTGCTTATAGCTAAAACAGAGCAATTTTAAATTTTAAAACAGGCAACGGGTTTTATGTTTTTAAACTAAAGTATTATCGTAAACCGACATAAAATCACTCGTGGCTTCCGATGCAGAAAGGCTAACCGCTCACTAGCTGACAGAGGCATCACAGCGCCGTTAATCTTCCTGGTTACTACAACAACTGAGTAGCAACAGAGCAGTGCGCATGCGCACTTGCTTCAAGCGTCTGTCACATTTAAATTGAACTGTTAATCCGCCATTACAGCAGGTGCATTGATTTATACGGAAGAGGAAAAATCTGATTTTTTAGATTTTATTTTAGTATGAGAGAAAATTCAGAATTCTGACTTTTTTCTCAGAATTCTGACTTTAATCTCAGAATTCTGCCTTTTTTTCTCAGAATTCTGACTTTAATTTCA